AAAATATTATGAATCCCATAAACCCGAGTGGATTCCCAGACATGTGTTTGCAAATAATGAGGTCTTAAACCGAAAGAAAGGTAAGAATTATTTACAAAAATATTGAGAATAATAATTAATTTTATTTTAAAATTTATATACTAAAACTGGAAAGGGTCACATGGACACGGAGGTCATGGTGGTCATGGAGGCCGTGGAGGACATGGAGGACATGGAGGGGGTGGGAAACAGCAGATACAGAATTTCGATTTTGTGAATATCAATGCTCCGGGTAATACTGGTGGTGATGGCAGTGGTGGCAATCACAGCGCTGCCGAAGCCGTCACTATTATAAACAGTGTATTCATGAATGTTAACAGTCTTTTGGGCACAATCGGAGGTCTCGTCGGATAATTCATATATTTATTATTCATTTATTTGAAATACATTTGAAATAAAACTTTTAATGACATTCAGTAAGGTAATCCCATTATAAAAGTATCAAGTACTTACTCCTGACTGATTGCAAAATTTTATGATAAGTTAATTTTTAGAGTTTATAAACTTTTCAAATAGAATCGAGTATTTTAAGTCTTGGGAAGACCAGGATTAAAAAACAAATCCTTTTGACAGGCAAACATCTTGATCTCGGGGTTGTGCTCCTCAGTCTTGCCCTCACTTTTGTTTTCCTCTTCCATTCGGTACATTGTCTGCCATTTATATACACATTATTTCAATTAAATTTCAATTATATTTACATAATATTATACATAATAATTATTGAGTTATTTGTTGACATTTTAACGTAATTAATATGAATATAGACCTTTTGTAGTAATTCAATGAGACTTTTATAGCACGCAAACTGTGCCATTGTATGGCTTAATGTCCGTCCAAAGTATGTATAGCCACTATTTTCGTCGTACCATGACTTTGAGCCTGATGATTAATTTAAGCAATACTATTTAATTTACAATTTACATTGACCAATGTACCTAGTTACCTTCAGCGCAGGCATAGGTAACAAAAGTGCGCTTATTTTTATTAGTCCACGACTTGTCTATGGATGAGAAGTCAATCACTAGTTTCTTATCCTTATAAATCCCGGGC